TAATTTTTTATCTTCTTGAATAGATTAGAAAACTTTGAACATGTTCAGCCCCAATGACCAGTCTTAGTGCAAGTTTCAAGTTAATGAAAAAGAAACACAAAATCCTTACCAGCCCAATGAAGGGTGGGTACCAGAAAATGCCATTCCAAAATATGCCACTTTGGCATAAGGATTATTCTGAGCTGAAGGCAATTGAGAAGACACAGATTTTTAAAAACCCCCAAACTCTCTGCCCACCCCTATCTAAAAGTAGAATTTATATTTGCAAAGGTGCCCTGTCTCTTCCCTCTACTAGGAAGGACAGAAGTTAATCACTGGAAACAACTCTAGACCCTTATCAGTTCAGAGATAGCACCAGAGAAATCTACAAAACAATCTTCCTAAAACTTCACCTTATCTACCATTCATTTCCCCAAATATTTGTCTTCCCACAATTTGCCACCCCTAGAAGCTCAAAGTCCTTTTGTTTCCTTGATACTTCACTAAAAATGTATTGTTCTGTTAAAATGGTATACAAACAACAAAACAAAGAGACAACCTACTACATGGGAAATGACGTTTGCAAATGACATATCCGATAAAGGGGTTAATATCCAAAATATATAAAGAACCTCTATAACTCAAGAAACCCAAATAATATAATTAAAAAGTGGGTAGAAGACATGAGTAGACATTTCTCCAAAGACAACACACAGATGGCCATTAGACAAATGAAAAGATACTCTATATCACTCATCATCAGGGAAATGCAAATCAAAACCACAATGAGATATTACCTGTCAGAATGGCTAAAATCCAAAACTCAAGAAATAATAAGTACTGGAGAGGATGTGGGGGGAAAAGGAACCCCTGTGCCCTGTTGATGGGAATGCAAACTGGTACAGCCACTGTGAAAAACAGTATGGAGCTTTCTCAAAAAATTAGAAACAGAGTTATATGACCCAGTAATTCCACTACTGGGTATTCACCCAAAGAATATGAAAACACGAATTTGAAAAGATATATGCACCTCTATTTGTACCGCAGCATTATTTTCAATGGCCAAATTATGGAAGTGACTCAAGTGTTCATCAGTGGATGAATGGAAAAGAAGATGTGGTACATATACAATGGAATATTATCCATAAAAAAGAATGAAATCTTGCCATTTGCAACAACATGGTTGGACCTAGAGGGTATAATGCTGAGTGAAATAAGTCAGTCAGAGAAAGATAAGTACCATGTGATTTCAGCCTTATGTGGAATTTAAGAGACAAAACAAATGAACAAAAGAGATAAACAAAAGGGCAGCTGGCTGGCTTATTTGGTAGAACATGTGACTCTTGATCTCGGGGGCATGAGTTCAAGCCCCACATTGGATATATATAGCTTACTTAAAAAAAGAGAGATAGGGTGCCTGGGTGGCTCCATTGGTTGAACATCTGACTCTTGGCTTCAGCTCAGGTTGTGAACTCAGGTTCATGGGATTGAGCCCAAGTTGGGTTCCTTGCTCAGCAGGGAGTGTGCTTGAGATTCTTTCCTTCTCCCTTTGCTCCTTTCCCCTGCTCTCTCTCTTTCTCTCTCTCTTGTTTTTTTTAATTTTTTAAATTTTTTTTATTTTTTTATTTTTTTTTTACGATAGTCATACAGAGAGAGAGAGAGAGAGAGAGAGAGAGAGAGAGGCAGAGACACAGGCAGAGGGAGAAGCAGGCTCCATGCACCGGGAGCTTGACATGGGATTCGATCCTGGGTCTCCAGGATCGTACCCTGGGCCAAAGGCAGGCGCCAAACCACTGCGCCACCCAGGGATCCCTCTCTCTCTTGTTCTAAAATAAATAAATAAATCTATAAAAAAGAGAGAGAGAGACAAATAAACAACAACAAAACCAGACTAAAATACAGAGAACAAACCAGTGGTTACCAGATGGGAGGTATGTGGGGGAATGGGTGAAAGAGATGAAGGGCGTTAAGAGTACACATATCATGATGAGCACTGAGTCATATGGAATTGTTGAATCACTATATTGTACACCCGAAACTAATCTAACACTGTATGTTAGTTACATAGGAATTAAAAAAAAATACTATACCAACCTAATACTATCTATCCTTTTGAGTTACTCATCTCTGGGTGCTCCTGTGTATATGCATGGTGCACTTGTTAATAAACATTTGTTTAACTCCCTCTTGTTAGTGTCTTTTGTCTGTCTAATTTATCAAGGCCAGTTCAACAAACCTAAGATGGATAGAGAGAAAACATTTTTTTGTCCTCCCTTTATCAGCAACCCATTCCTTATTCTTTATGCAACTAAAATAGTCAACATTCCTTATTGAGGACCCAATAAATTAGCCCAAGATACAGTTCCCTGCAGCTATTCTTCAGAAATCTGTCTTCAGGCCTTTGGCCAGATGGGTCATTGGGTCTGACCCAAGTTTAGAGAACTACTTAGAAACATTCATAACCAACCAAAGAGGGTTCCTAATAATACGTAGTCTGGTTACTCTGATTTGCTGAGCAAAATAAACAAGTTAATGAACGTATGAAAAGCTGCTTGTGAGACATTAAGTCCCCAATGACTTGCCTTTGCTGACTTTTGAAAGGAGAGAAAGGCACAATCCGTTCCTACTTGGGCAGTGTCCATTTTCTCAGCTCTAGCATAACACTACATTTGAAAAGCTTTATTTATAATATATAAAATTTATTTATATATTTAAAATAAAAAAATATACTTTTTGCTTATGAACATATCCTCCAAATATTTTAGAAACTTTATTCATGAAAACCATTAAAATGTATTTAGCATTCAATGTGACAGATATTGTCCTAAGTGCCTCATATGTGTTAACTCACTGAATCCACACAATGACATGAGGTAAATACCACCATTAACCCCATTTCACAGATGAGAAAGCAAAAACACACCCATGTTAAGTAACTTGACTTCAAGACAGTTCCAGTAGCTGGAGCCTTTGCCACCACATTCTGTAGCTTCTCAGTCCCAGTGACAAAGAGCGGGTGGTGAACTGTTGGCAGAAGGCTCTATTTATAAACAGGGAATTAAGTCTGAGGCCAAGAATTAATCTAATTTCATACAATTAGGAAAGCAACTAAGTTCTAGCAACTCAGAACTCAGGATGTGTAGTTAACTGACCACCTCTTGCCATCTTCCCAAAAGCAAACTGCATGGGTCCTGATTCACTGCAAGTGAGCGCACGTGTTATTTACCGTGTCTTTAGCTCTGGCTGGTGGAAGAATTGAGGCCATACTTAGCATGTGTCATTGAGCTAATTTTATTCTATAAATAATAGAATAACTGTTTACAATATTTTAAAACCTCCCCACCTTTTTCCAGGCCTCCTCTGAGCTCCTTCTTACTGCTCCGTCTGCATACTTTCTTGGTCACCACTGACTCTAATTTTAGTCCTGGTGAACGAGAAGTTTCTTCTGCTTATATTGCCTGCACATTAATTGTCCTATCCTTTTTTTTTTTTTTTTTTTTAGTTGTCCTATCCTGTAAAAGCTTTACTCACTTTTACAAGGGGTCAAAGATCCAGAACACACATGTGTTTTTCAAATGACAATTCATGTTTTGGGTTAAAATATACTCTGGGCAAACCGAGCTCACTTTAGGTAAGATATTAGAACAAATTACAATGGATAAGGAACAATTATAAAGGGTAAGACAGGCCAAGGGGGGGGGGGAACCCCTAACAGTCTGGGGGCTTTGAAATGTAAATCTAAAGGGGGCGGGCTACTGGGCTACCAGCAGGGGTGGGAATGTTAGTTTCCTCAACTTCATACATTCTTTCTTTCTTCTAAGCAGTTTCTTCCAGTAAAACTGGTTCTTTTTCCCCAGGGACCACAAATATCTGATTCTTGTCCTAGCCCAGATGGTGGAGTACAGTGACCGTCAACAGAAGAAGAAAAGAGATCCAGTAAAAATAAAGGTCAGGAGATGCAGGCGCCGGGTGCCGCCTGGATTGGTAACAGCTTGCGAATCTGTCTGAAATGCCAGGCTGGAAAGAAAAGTCACATCTGCCCGGAGGCCCCAGCAAATGTTACAGGGTTTTCCTGCACCCACCTTTCTGGACCTGTTGAATGTCACTCTTCACCGCATTGACTCTGCATCAAATAGCTAAGGCAGAGCTTTCTCATTCCTGAATAAATGACCGTGAGTAAGGACGGTCGCGCCTTGAACATTAGTGAAGGCGACTAATTACATTACCTGCTGGACGGGCCTCTCAGGACTGGCAGCCCCACAGAGGAAACAAGTCGGAACGCTGAGGATGGATGCAGAGACACATCAAAAACCTCTATTACTAAAGAATGAAGGAAAACCTTAGCTTGGGGGCAGATTTACATAACAGATGTCAACGCAGCTTTCACAACCTCTTTCTGATTTGCTGACGGAGCAGCAGATGTGCCATGTGGTTGGGTGGGAGAGTACGGCCAGCAGGCAGGCGAGCCCCAGCCCCAGCCCCAGCCCCACGCTGCTGTCTGCTGCTTAGACGTGGAACCAGGGACGGGGGAAGCTGATCTGAGTCTGTTGTTCACCTCTTCAAGGGGGCTGATGCCTTTCTCTTTGGTGTCTGGTGAGGATCGAATGAGAGGAGGTGTGCATCTTCTCTGATTGAACGGGGCCCTGATCTCCTGCTGCCTGGGCCCGGGGCGGATAGTCTAACCTTACAGTTTCCTCATCTGTCAAATGGGGATAATGCGCATCTCCCCAGGTTTGCTGTGACAAGTCAGAGTAAGTTAAGTGTCCAGTAAGCTAAGGGCCCAAGCGGTGATTGCTACTTAACATTGTCCAACCCACGTCCCAGGGTCTTCTTCCACCTTCAGAAATGGAAACCCGAAACAGGTAATCCCCTAAACAATAGCAGTTACTTAGAACTGAGGGGTGGAAGGTATCATCTTCAATAGGCATCGGCCACTTCTCAGGCAGGAATGAAAATACTGACCTTGCCAAAACTTTCTGCCTCGCATGATGATAAATTAATAGCAAACTGTGTTTGCTCACCGTTTATCTCCAGGGAGCTCTGGGCACTGTGCTGACATAATCTTCACAACATCCTGGCGAAGAGATGATGAGTGATTTAATCACCAACTTCAAGAAAATGAAGGAGGCAGGATTGTCCTCTGGATGGTGACCAGCTGTTTCCACCACAGCCAAAGCCAGATAAAGAGCCAGCAGGCCTAAGTGGTAAGAAAGATCTGGGTTAAACCCTTGGAGATACATCTCAAAGAGGTTTCCAGCCAGGAAAGTACTGACTTATGTGGCTGCTGCTCTGAATTAGTTTCCCAGCAGTAAATTGAAGACACAGATTTCTTTACAGTATACACAAAGCCTCCCTTAACACCTGGGTGATCCCTTTGGGCGGGTCTTCCCCTCAAACGACTCCAGCCAATTTCCATGCCAGGCTGTTTGGCAGTTTCCCAGGGACATTCTGGAAAGGCTCAAATGAGCGGGTTATCCCACGGTTGAGTGAGCTTTGAGCAGCTAACCCAGACCAGGCCTGAAGGTGAAACAACACAATGGGTTGTTTAGACACCTGGGCTTGTGGAAGGGTGTCTGTGGCCTGAGTATGTCATGAGAGCAGTTAAAGGATGTGCCAAAGCCTCAGACTCCTGAGGGAATGCTATGTATCCCCACTGCCTCTTCAAGCAGTCCACCAAAGTGGGACTATCCTGCCGCCTTCCTACGGCTGCCGCGGGAGTCAAAGGGAGGCATGGAAGTTGGTAGAAGCCACAAGCACCAGCAAAACCCCAGTTCCTCCCAAATGAGAGCCCAGGGAGAGGCAGCACCCGATGGTGGTAGAAACACCAGTCACCAGCACTGTCCTCTTTCCAGCTCCTGATGAGGACTTGTTCTTGACAGGAGTGCTCTTTAGGACAACGCTTCTCAAGTTGCAGCGTGCCTATACATCCCCTGGATATCATTTTGTTAAAATAGAGATTTTGATTCCATTGGTCTGGGTAAGAGTCTGAGCTTCCGCATTTCTCAGAGGCTCCCTGCACAGCAGTTTGAGCAGCAAAATCTTTAGGACTTGCATGTATAAGAACCCCCTAAGAACCGGGGGCGGGTGTTACATCTCCTTTATGTAACCCTGTTCTTTGGAGGTGTCAGGGGCCCAGTCTTCTGTCCTGCTGCTGGGCCATACCTGCTTTGTTGCCCTGGGTCTGCAGTCTACACCGGACTCACTTCTATAACCTGCCATTTCATCATCAGTGGTGAGGAAAGGGCAGGCCTGCCCCTCCCTTTAAGGGCCCAATCCAGAAATTGCACATTCCCCTTCCATTCTGATCCTTCTGGTTAGAGTTCAGTCACATGGCCACATCTAGCCCCAAGTAAAGTTGGCACATGTTTTATTTTATGCATATTTTATGCTCGGTTCTCAGGTATGCACTGAAAAATCCATACCAAGGAAGGAGAGAACGCATAGTAGGGGACGCTGACAGTCTCTGTCACAATTGGGGATACAAAGTGACACTGGAATGGTATTGAGTACTTACTCTCTGGCAGGCACAGCGCCTTAAATGAATCCCCTCATCCAATCTTCACACACACACAAAATCACTGGTAAGTACTATTATTGTTCCCACTTACAGATAAAGAAACTGAGGCTTGGGGAGGTTAAGCAGCTTACTATGGTCAGGATTCCAATTCAGGCACTGTCACTCCAGAACCTGGAATCTTAGGAATAGGGAAAGGACTGATTATAGAAACAGCAGCTGGGGCCAGGCCGTTTCAACCCTCAGAGGTCCCCCAGCAGTGGGAGGGGGGTGGGTCATGAGTCTATGAGATGAAACCCTGCAGGACTGACTACACAAAAAATCTTGTGCATTCCATGAGAAAGACGATGCTTACCTGGGACAATTTATATGCTGTATCTCCAGAGGCGGAAGGTTGAAGATGTTCTCCTTCCGAGTTTTGAGACTTGTGAACCAAGGAGTTTATTATTCCTCTGGTGTTGGAGGTATGACTGTCATCTCAGGCTATACCAGTCTTGAAAGGCAATGGTCTGTGGCTCTGCTGTCCATTTCCCCACCCCCACCCCCCAGGGGTAGACAGTACTCTGAATACCTGGTGCATTGGTGGGAGAGCCACAGCTGGCCAGGACCAGATGGGACCACTTCTTGTGTCAGTCACAAGTTAGAGGACATTTGAAAACTGTTTTCCAAAGTTCTCCCCCCTCCTTCTTCTTTTCATGAAAAGGGCTTTTTGTTAGTACAGGCTTTGTTTGGGGATTCAGTTGATAAAGGGACCATTTTATTGGAATGAATTACTGACGCAAGTGCTGCCAGAAATCCTAGCAAGAGGCCAGCACTCTGGCTTTTATTCAGCAAGGTGAATGGAAACAGCTACTGGGCGTTGGTATCAAGGGCACTTTGGAGTTCAGTGCCATCAGCAACTTGGAGTTTAGAGGAGGCAGTCAGAGAAAGTGCTAGCAATAAAATATAAGACTTTTTCCTTTATATATTTTTATATAACGTCAAATGGGCAGGAACTGTTGGCCAGGACTTCCATAGAATGAAATCTTTCTACCTATTATTAACTTGCTAAATCTCCACTACAAAGACTGGGGTCCCTGTAACAATTTCAGCTCATTCTTCTGAATTCCGGAAAAAGTCACTTTTCTCTGTTGAGTCAAATGACAGCTGGGGGAGAGAAAGTCAAACAGCCAAAAAGTAAACCTCAGGTTTTGTGGGACTCACATAGACATGGAACATTTAAAGGTTCTTTAAAGTGATTCTCTTCAGATGGTGCTCAAAGGACTTTGCTAAAAGATATGAAAATACTAGCAAGCCGAAACTCATACATTCTAACTTGTTTTTCTCCCATATCTGGGGTGTGCGGTGCCAACAAAAATTTGTGAAGACACATGGACTGACAGTGTTATTTCTCCATAATCTCATCTGCTATTTTGTTGAGACTCCAAGACCCAGTATATTTGAAGTTTGCTAGATGAATCAGCATTTCTTGGGAAACCTCTTTTAAAATATTGTTATTTGCAAACAGTGGCAAGGAATGAGGCACTTAAATCAATCGACCATGAACTCTTCAGAGTTCAAGGAAATCATTAAGGGCTGATAAAGTCAATAGAAGTTTGGGTAAGAGAAAAGGTATCCCTTGATGTTGTTTGAAGGCATGTAACACCAATCAGTTCTAAGTGACTGAACCCCAAGTATTGATTAGAAAACAGGTGCCCACGGGCAGGTGCCAGCTGTCAAGCTTGGGAGTGTCACACAGACTAGGTCCTACAGATCTCCCTGAAAAGCAAGATGAACAGTGGGGGGTCCTGCCATTTATGCCTTTCAAAGACAACATGCACTTGTTTTAAGAAAGGAAGACAAGTTTCCTAGTCTGTAAAGCAAGGATTGTTAAGATCTGGCCCATTTATCTCACAAGCAAGACAATGAAGCATCCTTCTAAAAACGCTGTACCCACATCTGGTGGTGGCATTACTATGCAAGAACAGTGCCCTATGTGGCTGGCGGGAAGGAAACATAGAGGAATGTTTACAGGTGCAAAACTTCGCTGAAGCTCCTCTTTGTGCCCCCTCCCAGCCATCATTCATTCAGATTCTACACGCCTTCTAGATTACAATTGTAATTCGTCATTTGTATAATTTGCATTACTAATATTCTCTCCCCCACTTGGCCAATAGTTCTTGCCCATTTGTCACTTTTTATAAAGGAAAAAGTCTTATATTTTATCACTAGCACCTTCCCTGTCTGTCTCTCCTAAACTCCAAGTCACCCAGTAACTAAACTCAAAGTTGCTGATGGCAGTGCGCTCTGATAGCAGTAAAGCTCCAGGAGCCAGAGATTTTGGTTCATTCCAACAGCAAATTCCCAGTTCCCTGGACTGGCCAGTCACATAGTAGGTGCATAATCAATACTAGTGAAGACATCAGTGAATGCTGAAGACAAATGGAAGGTGCATACATAGTCAATTTGCTTATATATCCCAAATTTGCCCTTGATCTCTGATTTTCTGAACTTAAGATTTTATAAATTAGTCTTTCAGGAGAGAAGAGAGTGGCTGGGATGCTGTAGCTGGGGTCAGTTTCTAATTCAGCCAGAGAGGTCCAAGCTTTATTAGTGATATCACTTCTCAGAGTATTTATAAACTCTACAGCCAGGGAAGATTCACCACCACTTGCTACAGGCCAGTACCCTGAAACCAGTTTTGAGAGGAAAGGCAAGGATGTGAGTCCATCTTTTCACATTCTCTGCAAAAATCCTACAAGTCATGCTAAGGAGTGACAAGAGAATGTCCAATGTCTTTTTTTTTTTTTTTAAGTTTATTTATTTTGTTTTTGTAATCTCTACACCCAACATGGGGGCTTAAGTTCACAATCGAGATCAAGAGCTGCACGCTCTTCTGAGTCAGCCAGGCGCCCCTCCAGCGTCTTATTAGATGAGTCCAGTCTCATACAGAGAGGACATTACTTTGTCATCCGGAGTGCCGAACAGTCCTCTTCTCTTGAAAAAAACACATCTGCAGAAAGGCTAAGAAACACCTGCTGACCAATACCTAAACAGGTGGCAGGGAACCTCTTTGTTTTCTGAGCTGGATTTGGACATTTTGTAGGTTAAAGAAGGAAAACCATCATCTAAAAAGTATATTCCACCAGAATTTCCCTGGACATGATCCCTCCTAGCCACAGGAAACACAGGAAACATAGCCCGTCGCTAAAATGAATAAAGTCAGGTTTCCAATTTGATGAACCACAAGTCCTATTTTTTCCCCACAACACTGAAAAGGGCAAGAAATTAATAATAATTGCTTTGATTTTGGGTTATCTTTTGAATGTTGATATATCAAAAAGCATTAATCACTAAGCCACTGAAAATTTTGTCTTGCGGGGCGCACCTGGGTTGTTGTAAATCGGTCAAGTGTCTGACTCTTGGTTTCGGCTCAGATCGCGATCTCAGTCATGAGACTGAGCCCCACATCAGGCTCTATGCTCAGCACAGAGGCTGCTTGGGATTCTTTCCCTCTTTCTCTGTCCCTCCTGCTGTGCTTGTGCATGCATGCTCACTCTCTCTCAAATGAATAAGTTAATTGCAAAAAAATTTTGCCTTGGTTATAATTTTTAAAAAACATTTATTTACTGGCAACCTTATAGTACTGATAGAAAAATGTGTCTCGGAATAACTCCAGACTATGGAAAAACAGCTATTAGTAAGGGAGGGATGTTTTCCTTTTTGTTTTTCGAAAATGAACAAATAACCTCCCCTCCTCTCACCACCTACACAGCTTTACTGTGTTCCAGGCCTTCAAGAGTGTAAAATCGATAAAATGGGGTTCTCAGAAGTAGTAGCCCTAGCCCAATGTCACAAGAAGTGCTTATTAAAACAGGAAGGAAACCAGTATTTCAGCAAACCCAAATTTAACAGGTTGGGACCTGACATGTCTTTAAGTGGTCTGAGGTAAAGCACTATTGCACCATAATCGGCAAAGCAAATCGGCAAAGCAAATCAAGACACCTCCAAAAAGGTGGTATAGTAAGAAAAATGTCAATTTAATCATTTACTTTAGCAAGCAAGCAATTTGTAAACATTCAGTAGCGGCAGCATCCAAGTTACAAACAATTTAAAAAGAAACCGAGATTAGTGATTATGATCGTTCCTTCCCTTTCCCCAAAGGAAAAAAAAAAAAGAAAGAAAAGAAAAGAAAAAAGACTTGGAAATGAACGACTGAAAACACTACAAACATGGAACATTCAGGTACGTCTTCTATCAGCCTTCTATGCGTCCTCTCTGTGTTTTATTTTTAAAGATGTATCTACTCCTAAAATGCATTATCTTGCAATAACTGGTACGTGAGGGTCTGCCATCTAGGAAGTTCGGTCTGCACGCGGATGTGCACGCAATCGTCTCGGTTTAAATCCCATTCGCGAAGGGGATATTGAGGTCTTGATTCAATGCTTCTTTGACTTCTAGTGGCAGGGTGTCAAAAAGGTGATCTTCCACAACAAGCCCGCTTTTCTTGAGCAGGCGACACTGGCCCAGCTGGGCTGGCAGGCGGTCCAAGCAGTTCCCCTTCAGCTCCAGCTGAGTGAGCTGGGACAGCTGACCGATCTTCTCGGACAGGAAGGTGATGCAGTTTTGCCCCAGATTTAAAGTCCTCAACTTCAGGCATTTGAACAACTGTTTTGGCAGAAGGTCCACTTTGTTCCCAGTGATATGCAAATGCTGCAGGTTCTGAAGCAACCCTATTTCTATCGGAATCACTGAAATGTTGTTGTAGCTGACATCTAAGCATCTGAGTTTCTGTAAACTGAACACTGCCACCGGTAAGGATTCGAGCTTATTGTTAGAGAAATAGAGCGACTCCAAGTTTTTGACATGGGTAATGGAGGGAGGAATGGTGGCGATTTTATTATGCCATAATTTTAAACACGTCAGTCGTTTTAAATGCTGGAAACTGATGATCTCCTCGATGGTGCGTATGTTATTTGATTTTAAATCCAGTTCCTGCAGATTTGAGAGGCTGAAAATGGCATGGGGGATTCTCTCCAGCTCACAGTTCTGAAGTTCGAGCTCGGCGACATTCATCATTTTCTTAAGGCTGTTCAGTACCAAGAGTTTAGTGCCGTCATTATGAATGACTAACTTTGTAAGATGTGGGGCCACATCTGTAATGTTGGAGGGAACTTTGGTCAAGTTACTCTTCACGTGGAGAATCTTAAGGTGCCGCAACTCTCGGAGAGACTCGAGTCCAATCATCTTATTGTTTTCAGAGTTCAAGTTGCCTATCAAGTACAACTCTCGAAGGTTTTTGAGCAAATACACCCAGGCAGGGATTTCAGCCACGTCGGTGAACTTCACATAAAGGCATCTCAAGTGATCTCGGAGGAAGCTAAAAGCAGTCTGTTCAACTTTTGCAGGGCAGTGGCAGAGGTGGAGCTCTTGGAGGTTGGTCATCTGAGAGATCTTAGCGGGAATTTTAGCTTCTGGAATCAGTTCAAGTTTTAGGACATCCAGGTCTGTGAGGTCGAAGACGGCGTCGGGCACACCCGACAGCATGAACAGATGGAGCTCCTGCTTGTCCTGGGCGTTGCGGGACACGTGCTGCCGAAGTTTTTCAAATGTCCACTCATGGTTCAGACTAATTTCCCTAAGTTTATTTTCACTAACTTCTGACAAGAACACACCGAAGCGCTTCGAATACAGCTGATCGTATTGGTCCACCATGTGAAGGAGGAACGCAAAATCGTTTTTGACATCTGGAATGTCACTGAAACTGCTCTCTTCTCTGACTTTTTCGAAAGAATATTCCTTCAAAGGTATCCTGAATAACCAGAAGAGAGTGTAGAGGCAGATAAAACCATAAACACAAATAATGGATATGTAACTGATAAGCAGCTTTTTCAGCATGTAAGCCATGTTGTGGGTGCACTCAAATACCTCATAACCGGTCAGGTGCTCCACTTTGGGCTTGCAGACGTGTTCAAAGCTGATTGCGTTGACAAAGTTTGCAGTATAGCAGAGGATAAAAATGAATTTGGCTGTTTTGATAAATGTTTGGACCACATAGAGTTTGTAGATCAAGTCACTGTCTTCCACGTGCGCACGGAACTTCCTTACTTTCTCAAACAGGGCTTTGGCCTGTTCCCCATCTTTTTTATCTAGGATGGTCATGCTGGGGACTTCGATCACAGGCTTCTCGGCTGAAAATTTGAAGCCCGTTTTATTGATCATTGGGGTACTGGCACTGGGGCTCCCTTCATCGCTGCTGGTAGATACATGCTTTGGTAGAGTCTGGGCACCTGTTATTCTCTGCTTGTTTTCCTCCGAGTCTTCACATGCTGTCTCGGACAACGCTTTAGTAGTCCAAGGAGATTCAAAGCACTTTCCTAATATTGAAACAAAATGTTCTACTTTTGAGCATGTTTTGGGATATTTGAACCAAAAGTTGCTACTGACCATGAGAATAATAGTATGTATAAGAGCAAGGTATGGAAAGTACTTAGAATACCACGGAAGGGCCAGATGGTAACACATCTGATTAATAAATACATATTGCTGAAAATCCAAGTTTGTCTTTCGGCCTGTTGGATCTTTCTTCTCTTTCTTTGTCTCCTGATTTGGAACTGTCGGATCTGTGTGAGGATATGTGGCTCTGAGAGGTATGTCAGGTGTCACAGCAGATGCGCCGAAGGAAATGTCACTTGTCGTCCGCCCATCTCGGTCTTGGTCTGTGGCTGCTTCCATCTTGGGGATACTGGTGGTAACGTCGGCATTTCCCGGTGGTGTGTGTGCCTTTGAATTTACAGGAGATGGCAATACTGGCAAGCAGACCA